CCCCCCTTCTTTTCACTGTAGCAGTCAAACCTGAGAAGCGTCATAGCCTAATGAAACATAAACAAACCCGATCAGCCACATTATCTCAACCGTCCATCTGATTCCATTTCCAAAGGTGCAACCGCGATCCTTTTGCAATGCGGTGTATCCCACATTCCACCTTGGCATTTACTAAGTACGAATAAACCGCTCTTTCTGCGTTCTGATTCAATTGAGTTGAAGAGGCAGTTGCGCGGCTCTTTCAAAGGCTGTGCGTCGTCTCTTATGAAAATATTGGTGTAGTGACATACATTGATGAGTTGGCCCAAGAGATGAAGGAATTTACTGCAATTTGGCTCATATTTCTGTACTTTTTATGCATTTTAATTAGTCAAAATGACGCACGCTTGCCTAACGAAATACAATGCGGCGATAACGACTGTTCTAGTAAGTTTCCATACGGAATGTAAGGTTATGATGTCCACTTTGACATTTATTTCAAAGTGACATGTTACATACATCTCTGATTTTTAGTATTTTAGAAGCGTCCGTCATTCCTTCTTATGTAATCTGTCTATCATTAAGTTAAAAAAGTACATACTCTCCCATAATATGAGATATATAACCTTATTTTTTGTAAATCCTTCTTCACACTCTCAGCACCAATTTCACGAGCCAAAACACTTCTACGCTATACATCAGGTTTGGAAGGAGGTGTTTCATTTCCCAAAGGAATAGAGGTTGAAGTCTTTAGTAAGAGAGATGACGCCTGGGGTATAAAGGTAACCTCCCGCACCATATTTGTCACACAGTCGATATCAGTTTAAAAAACGGCTTGTATCTCAAAAAATATTTTTATTTCTTACCAGGTTGGCGACAAAATTGGATTTGCTCCGAAGACATTTGTAAGGGAGATTAAAGTTTACATACCTACTAAAAGCTTGGTCACTGTAGTTCAAGATGTCTCAGCAAAAACTGTCCAGGTTGACAGTACCCAAAATGAATCAGCTGATGTGGCATTGGAAAAGACCAAAGAAATTCCATCTGTTCTTGGCTCTTTGCTCAGTTTTCCCTCAATGGCCTCAGCTGAAAGTGTTGAAGGGCAACAGCAAAACCTTCCAACACCTTCATCTCCCCAATCTGAGGTTGTTGATGGCACCACCATCTGGCTAGATCCTATGCCCCCAATGCAAGCTGCCGAACAACCAGCTTCCCCTAATGTGTCTGACAACAAGGGACAGGAGTCTAGTACTACTTCTGAAAATATCCAAGATGATGTCAAAACACCAGAAGTAAGTGAGAGTGCTGACAGCAAAATTGATGTGCCCACCACTCATAATTCTGAAGAAGTTTCTGAGACTCCTACCACTCCTGTACCATCAGATAATTTTGTAACTCCTCCATATGATGGTGGGGAATTCGAACCTGAAAAGCAAGAGGTCACAACTGATATACCTGAGGCTTCACCTGAAAAACCAACTGAGCCAGCAGCTGACCAATCATCCCGTGATGAATCAATTGAAACAACAACTGAGCCAGCGACTGATGAAACAACTGAGTCACAAGATATTCAACCTACTCAAGCGGGCTTGATGTCTAACTTATGGAACACTATGTTCAACAGTGGTGATGGTACTGAAGAAAATAGTCAAGAAAATGATGGGGAAGAAGATGATGAGGATGGTGAGGATGTTGATGAAGGGGATGATGGTGAAGATGGCTCAGCGGAAGAAGAATCTAACCCAAATAGCAGTGAACCTGCAACCCCAACCTCACCATTACCTGTTGGTCAGGCTGACATCTCCTCGAATGTTATTGTCGAAAATCTTCAGAAGACTTCAGCATCACCTGATGATCTAGCTGACTCTTTTGCCCAGACTCAGTACATTCAACAAAGTGAGAATGTAAGGCTTGCTCGACAAGTTGGACCTGGAAGTGAAGAACTGATTTCTGAAGAGGTTCCTGAAGATCAAGTTGAGAAAGTTAGTGAAGAGAACCTAGAATCAGTTTCACCTCCTAACATATTAGACAGCAGAGAAGAGAAACAGTCAATTGATTCAAACAGCAATGCTCAAGATGGCAACACAAGTCAAGTGGTTGATGAAAAGCCGGAGCAGGAAAAGATCAATGAACTTTTGAACAATGAAGAGCCGAAACAGAAAGAGGAAAGTGGTCAGCAGCAGGAAACGGAACTAGAAGATGGTCAATGGAAGGAGGAACAGCTAGAGGCCGAACAGAAACTTAAACAAGAGGAGGAACAGAAAAGACTTCAGGAAGAGGAGGAACAGAAAAAACTTCAAAAGGAGGAGGAACAGAAAAGACTTCAAGAGGAGGAACAGAAACGACTTGAGGAGGAGGAACAGAAACGATTGCAAGAGGAGGAACAGAAACGACTTGAGGAGGAGGAACAGAAACGACTGCAGGGAGTGGAGCAGAAACGACTTCAGGAGGAGGAGGAGGAACAGAAACGACTGCAGGAGGTGGAGCAGAAACGACTTCAGGAGGAGGAGGAGGAACAGAAACGACTGCAGGAGGTGGAGCAGAAACGACTTCAGGAGGAGGAGGAGGAACAGAAACGACTGCAGGAGGTGGAGCAGAAACGACTTCAGGAGGAGGAGGAGGAACAGAAACGATTGCAGGAAGAGGAGTGGAAACGCTTACAGGAGGTAGAGCAGAATCGTCTGCAGGAGGAGGAGAAGCGCAAGCTGGAGGAGGATGCCAGAATGCGTGAAGAAGAAAATCAGAAGTTGTTTGAGGCCGAGCAAGCAATGATTCGGGAAAATGAAGCAAAGCAAAGAATCAGAGAAGAACAAATGAAAAGAGAAAAGGAAGATGCCAAGAGATTACAGGACTCTCAAAAGTTACGTGAATCTTTGGAGAAAGAGAGAGAACAATTTAAATTGTCTCAAGATATTCAACAACCAGTTCCTGAAGTAAATAATATTTTATCCGAGCAAAATTTAACGTCGTCAAACAAACTGGAGCAAGATATTGTAAAATCTGAGCAAGATGCATCTAATTCTGAGCCAGAAACATCTGAGGGGATATTTTCATGGATTTCAGGACTCTTTGGAAGTAATGTTGAGACTGTCAGTAATGGATCTGATCAGGAACCTGTACTTCCCCCACAATCAGAAACACTGCAACAGTCTTCATCCCCTGCTAGTCATGTCTCTCATAGTCATCATCATGAAAATCCATTGGAACGTCAACATGAACACCCTCCTGTGTGTAAGTGTTTAAGCCTTATTCTTGTTTTCTTTTAATAATAATATAATTCTAATAAAATAAAGCAACAAGGGAAAAGTAAGCAAATTTTCAGCTTCAATATGTTAAGTTTGAAATTGGCAGCACTGACAAAAGTCACCTGTTTTTTTGAGATTGTGATGACTTGCTGATTTTGAACACTTTTTTCTCAGTCTCTTACACAACATGGATTGATGTTTATTTATTGCTTGGTAAATGTACACTGAGAGGATAGCTGAATTCTGGAAGAGGAATAGAGTATACTTAATCCATGTTTTGATTTGCAGGGAGCTCGGCCCATCAGACTATGTGTTCTGCTTCTGAGGCAGGCTGTGACATGAAAGTAGAATCAGATTCTGAGGTATTTTTCTTTTCTTTTTTTATTTGTTAATTATTCTAATTAATGTGATTCTAGACACAGATAAACAATAATTGTTTTGTTGCATTTTTTTTCTAATGTTTTAGCATGAGGCAAGTTCTCTGTTTTTGGGACTACAAATGCCCTCACTGGATGTGATCCTACTACGCTTGGTAGCCACTGCTGTTTCATTGTTGATTGGAGCAGTCTCTTTTTATTTCCTTCGTGTAAGTAAGCTTTGCACCTGATCAGAAATGAATTTTTACTATTGTTTATTTATTTTTATTTTTTCCATTATCAGAAGAAACATGTTGATTCCTCTCTTGTTGCTCGCATCAATGAGCTTGAGAAACAGCTTCTAGTTGCCTCCAAGGAGGCTGTGATTCTTAGGGAAGAAGTATCTACTGTCGATACAAGTGCCAATTCTGAAGAGGTTAACTTATTACAAGAAGAATTAGAATCTTGCCGTCTTGTCAGGGCAGATCTTGAAGAGCAAGTGTCTACCCTTGAGAGAGAACTGGAGGAAGCAACTGAAACTGGTATTGAGCTCAACAAGCTTCTCTCTGAAACACTAGAAGCCAGCAAAGGAAAGGCACACGCAGGACTAGCAGATAGTGTTGAACGTCTCCAGCGGCAGTTAGACGGTCAGAAAGACCGAGTTGACAGCCTTACCCGAAGTCTCAAGTCAACAAGTGCTGAGGTAAGTTCTCTGTCTGTACATTTAACTGTACATAATGAATAGAGATGCGTTACTTACTACCATTTATCATTTAATTTTTCATTTCAGAATGAAAGCTTAAAATCATTGCTTGCTGAGAACAAGGAGAAAATATCTGCTTTGGAAGCAGAACTATCTGCAGCAGCGGATATTGCCAACAACATTCGAAGAGAGAAAGAGGAAGCAAATGTACTAGCTGCTCAGGAGTTACAGCAGGTTCAGTCAAGACTTGAAGATGCTCTTTCCTCCAAAGTCCTTGAGGAATCGCGACTGCATTCTGAATTATCTGCGCTTAAACTAAAGCATGAAACACTTCGAGCGGCTCTGTCAATGAGAGATGCTGAAGTAAAAGCTTTGCAAGTAAGTTGATCAGTTTAAGGTAGACTTGTTACTTTTATCGCCTAGGGTTGAATTTCACAAAAATTATACCCTTTTTTGCATACTATTATTTCAGGATACCCTCAAAGAGTTGGACTCTAATGGAGGCAAGGCAGATCAATTATTGGATGTTTCCAAAGTTAAGGCTGAACTTGAAGAGGCCAAAAAAGATAAAGCTACTTTTGAGGAGAAATACAATGTGGAAGAAAAAGCAAGGAAAGACCTTGAAGATCGCCTTGCCAACATTTCTGAAACTCTAAAGAAACTTGAAGGCAATGTGGAAATTGCAGAAAAAAACAAAGAAGAGGCAGAAACTCGCCTGGCCGTCCTTTCCAATTATTTTAAGGAGAAAGAGGAACAACTTCAAAAAGAGTTGGGTCTGAAGGAAGCAATAGTTGCTCAACATCGTGGTGATGAAAGCACTGTTGTTAAACACTTACAATCATTGCAAGAGGAAGTAAGCACTTACAGGTAAGCACCACTTTACCCGATAAAATAAATTCATGTGATGTGGGTGTATCTGAAAACTTGTATTACACTGCGGGACATATGCTGTAATCATTCTCAGCATTGACTAAAGGCTCCAATTCAGTTTATGTTTGGAGCTCCTGTGTGCTGCCTCTCTGAAAATATGAAAGGATGTTTAGAATCATATTTGATTAATGCAGAATTTCTAATGAAATGTTTTAATTTTTCACAAAAGTTATTTTTAAAATTAAAATCTCTTACCACACAGCAAACTACAGGATTGTACAGGATTTGGGGTCAAAGGGACTGTGTCTTAAGTGACCATTGTTCACCTATCCATCAGAATTGACATGGGTACAAGAAAAGTGGTAAAAAGATAAACAGATCCTCTAGTTAACCACCCTATTTGTCACGGAAAAATCTCAGACACAGTATTCAGTTTTTCTTAGGTTACTATTAAGTATTTTAATATCCCAAAGCAGTTTGTAAACCCTCTATGTAGTCGTAGAATCTTTATTCTTTAGAACCTGAGAAAATTCCAATTAAACATCACACATCACACAAGTAGAGGGAGTATATGATATGTAGAGAAGTATGTGCGAACGAGTGCCATGTACTTGTGTTTTCTCCACCTCTTCACATTGCACTAGATTTTTGCTCATTGTCTGCTTTATAGAAATAAATTCTTTTTACATTCCTTGTGTATTATAGGGCACAAAATGAGTCTTTGAAGAAGGAAATTCTTGACCAGGAGAGAGACTTCAAAGCCCAAATGGCCACCTTAGAGAAAAAAGCTCATGATAATTGGGTAAGCAATCTTATCAAGCAAACTGTTATAGCTTAATATTGTTCCTTCATCTTATTAACTCCTAATTTTGCAGATGACAGCAAGGCAAGCAGAACGAAGACTTGAAGACTCGCGGCATGAAGCTGCCCAGCTCCGTAATCGTCTCACTCTCGTAGAAAAACACAATGCAGACCCCAATGCCAGTAAGTACATCCCTGAATTAATTATCTGTCTCTAAATAATTAAGGAAACTATTCTTAAGTTTTACTCTTAAAATTTATTTTCTAGGACTTGATGCCAATGGAGAAGGTGGTGTGGCTTCACCAGTAATGATGATGCCACTGCCCCCACTTGGAGACATGGAAACTCCACCTCCCCTTCCACCATTTATGTTTTCACCACCTCCCTATCCCCCTCCTTTTATGCCTCCCCCTCTTCCACCCCACCCAATGGGTAGACCACCTCCTCTTGGAAGGATGTCGTCCCCCCCTCCCCCCTTAGGTCAATTTTCTCCTCCTCCTCCACCCTACGACCGTTTGGATCGATCAAGTAGATCACCATCACCACCCCCTCATAGGTACCATCATCGCAGCCCTCCTCCACCCCATCAGTGGGATCCTCCTCCATCAAGCTTTAGACCTGTCCCAAAGCCCTCTCCCAAGAAGCCTAGTGAACACCGGGACCACAAAGGTGCGATGTGACTTCTTAGTGCTTACAGATCTCTGCATCTTGTGCGGAGCATTTGTTTGGACTGATTTTAAGGTTTTGTTTTCTTTTTGACTCAAAACTCTTCTTGATTTTAGGAATTTTTTTCCTAGATTTTAATATACAAATAATAAATAATTAAACTTAATTACATTTATTATGATTATGATATTTTGGGTTATGGTAGCCTGTGGGGAATCACAACCATTGGCTATTCCTGAACCATTTTGTTTGAATATAGATATAGAAGTTTACATGCTATTTATTGTAGTTATTAGTGCTAGCATTATGCTTTCCATTAATCTCCTAGTTTATTTTTTTAATTTATCTATTTTTTGTGGAAATGCACATTTTTTGTAGGGATCCTAAATCTTTAGTCATGTTGTCTCTAATATAGTTAATTAATGATTTTCTTTATTTATTTGGGAGATAAGCAGTTTAAGCTATAATTGTACTTTGCTCTTGTTACAGGTTCAATTCATAATTCAGGACATTCAAATGAATCAATGGATAAGTCAAGAGAGCATGTGTGATACACTTCAAGCTAGAAACTTTATTTGTTGTCGATTTTAGGTTTAAAGAAGAGATTTTGACGTATTATTTCTTACTATGTAGTTTGGAGACATGTTGTATTTGTGTGTTTTACAACTCTTGCCTTAAGTCACAACAAATTTCTTACCAGATTATATGTTTAAAGACCAAAATTTTGGTTGAATTTTATATTAATATGAATTTTGTATCTGTGATCAGGTTTAAAGTGAATGACCTCCTAAAATCATATCTGCTGTAATTCTGAAATGCAGGAGTACCAATTTAATTGTGACAAAATGTTGTACAGTGTATCTCTTTCCTAAGTTCTCTAATTGGTTTTCATGTCTGAACATCGTGTAGTAAATGGTTCTGAGTATATTTTAAAAAAAACTTTTTGGGGTCTCTGCTTAGTGTTTGTATTTGATTGCAAGTTTGCAAGGTCCCTCAAAGAGTCAGCCGGTTTTCTTCATCTTTATTTTCTGTAATGTTTGTGTCGAACATTATTGAAAGTGTGCTTAGTGCTAGACTGATACAGTTTAAGTAGTCCTATGGTTGCTGAATGAATTGTCAAGAACTGCTCATTTCTGATGTAGTGACCCACTGTCAGGTACAGTAAGTCTATGCCCATATTTTAAATATTTAAAGTAGTCTTGTGGGCCTAGCTTGTTGGTTTTGTGTTCCTCAAATCTTATTGAAATGGCAATTTTAATCCTAAAAAGACAGAAGCATGATAGTGCTGTGTTACATCAAACAGTCCAAAATGAAAGCTAACATTTGAAAATGTAGGTACCGCAAATATTGATTGAAATTGGATGAAATGGGGAAAGTATAGTCCATTGTGGAACATAATAAATTTACATAGCTGTACTTAGAATTATGTTATTCCGACTTTGCTGGCAAGTCTCTCTTTCTAAAAGATTCTATTTGAATTGAGATGACAAAGTTGTGCATGTCTCTTACGTTGTTTGGGCCTTAAATGTGGCATTGTAGGAGCACACTGTAAATCTAAATCAGGTATATGTTCTCCTCAATTTGTAGTAATTATTGATTCAAACATTTGGATTTGTAAATGGAATGGAAAGACCAATGATGAAAACAATGCTGAGTGATCTGTTGGTTTGCACTCTAGTCTAATTTTAATGTGTGGAGGAGTAGGTATAGAAGTGTTACAGGGTACATTTTATAACTTGCTTTGTCATCAGTACTAAAGCTTTTTTTGTTGTTGTTATGAACCATCATGATTGGGATTCAAATACCTGGTGTAAATGTTATTCTGAAAAGTCTTCTCAGGGTAACGTCAGAAATTGTAGTCATTAAAACTTGGTCATGGCATTTCTAAGGATTGCATGTCAAGTAAATTTTACATTTTGTATGATTTTAACATTTCTATCAATGATTTGTTTTTTGAGTGATGTACCATTGGATGTGTATGTAAACATTCATTTCAATGTCATTTTAAAAAGAACAATTATATGTCTCAAAAGGATAACACTTTCACAATTAATTTACTTTTGTTACACCCCAAGAAAAAAAGAAGACTGTTTCTCTGTGTTCATAGTCAAAAGCTGAGTCTGATGCGGTAATGATCTGGTAATGATACAATAAGTACCTAAATAACATTTATGACAATATGAAAGGATGATTAAATGTACCAAGTAATTTCATTAGGTAAATTTGAAATTGGAAATTAGGTCCTTTTTTAGTGAATCCAGCGAGCACTTTGTCTGTACGGCTCCTTCTCTGGTATATCAAAGGTTTGCAAACCACTTTCATTGCCTTTCAAAAGAAAGTAATAAAGAAATAGTGTGGTGACACGTTCCTTAATTTTTATTTCTTACTTTTTTGTCATTACTATGACACAAAGATGTGACCAACCCGACTATGGAACATCACGCCCCCAGGATGTAAGCAGAAGCCAAGGACCTGCTCTGGAAGTTCGCCAGTTAATGCAGCAGATTGGTTGAAACGCCCCGGTGCACGTAAGTGTTAACTTTTTTTTTTCTTTTCTTTTTTTTTTCAGCAGTCAGCGATGGCTAGTCCCCTCCTAGTGAGAAGTGCATGTCGAAATGATGTCGTTTCGACGTCGATTTGACCAGTTTCCCATCGTTTCGATGTCGTTTTGACGTGGATTCGACTTGTCATTTCTTACTGGGCTGGATCATGGAGGGATGGGAGGTCGACGGCTTGGAACTCCGTCGATCTGAAATTTTTTCCAGTCTTATGTCCGTCTCAGGTCCAGTCGCAGGTTTTTTAGTCTCTGTCCAGTATAGTCTCATGTACCCCCAGCCAGCTCCCTGCTATCATAAGACCAAGGAATCTGGCTTTAAAGGAGCTCCATGACCTGTAGTGGGTCAGAACAGTTTAACCAATGTACGCGTCAACCGTGTCACAAACCCCGGGGAGAATGTTCTGACCACCGAGGTTCAGCTAATCCCGTTCCGAACTCGGAAGCTGTCCTGCGGTGGGACGTGGAAAGTACGCCCCCATTTTTATTTTTTATTTTTGTCCGGGTGGGGGAGAGGTGGTGGGCATTTACCACGCCGAGCGGACTTATTTCTGCAGTCGTTGTTCTGGTCCGGCCCATAGGGCGGTCTAGACAACGTCTCCACAAGGCCCTCGAGATCATCCAGAAAGTCCGTCCGTCATTTCGCCGTGACCAAACTGCCAAGTTCAGCCTCTGTCGTCTGCCAGCCGGCTCGTGTACCGCCTGGTAGGTAGGCAACATCTCGCCTGCAGTGCACGCGTGTACTGCGGGGTGGCCTACCCCGAGTCTCGCAGGCGCCGAGCTCCCGTCCTTCGCCGAATGGATCCAGGGAAAACGCACGTGCCGGGTGATTCAGAGAAGACGCAGGTGCGGGTGGGTTTGACTAACTACTCGTTCTGTCGGTAAGGGGTCATGGCCCCTTAGAGGTGGGCAAACCAGCGCGCATTTGCGTCTTCTCGAACCACCCGACACGTACCGCGCGCTTTGAAGTCCCCGCCCCGCCCAAGGTGTTATAAATTACAACTTATTAGCCCCGCCGCCAGTGCCCCGGCCCAGCCCAGCCGCCCCCATTGCACTGGCCCGCTGGCCCGCTTTTCCTTTTCACCCCTGACATGCTGGGGGGGGGGGGGCTCTGGTGGCCTAGTGGCCCTCGTCGGCCCCACCAACCCACCAAGGAGCGCGCGGGGCGCGGGGGCGCGGCACCGACGGAGGGCAGAGATGTTGGTTTCAATTTTGTTTGAGTTTTGCTGGGGTCGCGCGTCGAGCCCGAGCCGATCCGTTCTGCTCCGTTCCACTCCACCCGCCGCCACCCTGCCGCGAACACGCTAGAGTCTCTCGGGCGGGGAGTGGCGCGGCGGGAACAGGAGGCTGCCGAAGGGGGGTGGGGGATGGGATGGGGGCCGTATCCGCGAGTGCCCCAGGCGCTACTGGGGTAACCGCTACGCACCCCCGCGAAAGACGCGGCCCACCGCGGCCTCGCCCTACCCCCGCGGTGGTAACGCCTCCTGAGAACGACCTGCGCGGGGCGGGGGGGGGGGGAGGAGCGCGAGGCGGGATGCGTTGTCTCCCCGCGACATCTTCAATCAAAGTCTGACTATAAAGCAGATGCAGCGATTTCAATGACTGTTTCTCTGGGGCCGACGGTCGACCCTTATCTCTACCTCATCATCCCTCCGCGCTGCTCCGTGCTGCTGGAGGCAGGCGGGGCGCGAGGCGCGGGGCGCGGGGCGCGGGCGCGAGGCGCGGGGCGCGGGGCGCGATGATGCGGAAGGGGGCGCCGCCCCGCCGCCGTCTCCGTCGCGCGAGTTAAAAGACGTACGACAACGGTTCAGAACCACCAACGCCTGCAAGGTAGCCAAAACCAACACACAGTCTACTGGAGGGCGATCGGAGAGCTCCCTGAAAACAACCGGAAACGCCTTGGGAGGACGGAAGTGGAGCGTTCTCGGCAGTCCTCCCCACTCTATTGTTCTTGTCCTTATTCCTTGTCGCTTGTCGTGTGTGCCCTTTAGCTGTCTCATGATGTGTGTCCGCCCTGTAAGATTTTTAACTTGATTTTAACTTATTTCTAAAATTTTACAAGATGCTGAAACTTTAATTATTTCTTGGTTTTATTTATTGTTTCAGGCTTAGTCATAAGAAGTGTCCGGCATAGTGCGCGCTGCGTCTGCGTCTGTGATTTGGAGGTTATCGAAGGACTCGTTGGTGAGTGAAATTTCAACTAATTTTATTCCTTGCTCTGTGCTGTGTGTGGGGGGTGGAGAATAATTTTCGAGATGCAGTTATCCCCGAGCCACGAAGCTGCGGAGAGTCAACCCAACCATTTAAAAATAGGATCATGTCTCTTGTGCTCTGCTATGTGTTCCATTGTTCTTCCATCCACCGCAAATAGAAAACGCACTAGTTAAAAAAAATTTCCCCAGCTTCGAAGTAGCAATGAATCGTATGTATGTAGTTGTCATGTTTTGTACGAGCTCCATTTTATTTGAGCCCTCCCAGCAAATTAACTCCTGGCAAATTCGCTTTCTTGAGTCATATGTAACGCAACGTTCTGAATCATTTGTGATGGTGTTATGAATAATCCATCATTAATATAACAACTTGTAACATGTTGTGTTTAAAATAAGTAGGTAGTAACCAAAATTTATTTCATTATGAGTTGTCTTAGAATCTGGACTTTGATACTGTTTACATTCATATTCATGAATTCTTATTGGTGAAGGAAACTGTACCTGATGTATTTTAACGGCTTCTGTAACTTGTGGTATGACAAACTATTCGTAAATATACCAAATGTTTCCTGTATAGAGCACTTCAGGTTAGACGTGAAGAAGAAGAAAGTAATAACCAGAATAGAAAAAAGTTGGGTCGTGAGGGACAGAGGGTGGATGATTTAAAAGCATTGCATTTTTGGTTATTCTCTTCTTCTTCCCATGTATCACCTATCCTGAAATGGTCTATTTACAAATTATCTTTTATTTCACAAACCTTTTCTATTTCATTTTAACAAATGGTTCATCAGTCTACCGTGCCCCACGCAGAAGGTTGTCTGTGTGTGTGGGGGGGGGGGGGCGTAGATCCTTCCCTTTTTTAGATTGTGAATTTGGTGCAACAAAGTGTACCAAAAATAAAAGAAAGGAGAGCAGGAGGCAGAGTGGGGCCAAATACCCCGCCCCACCCCGCCCCCTCATACCTATCACGGCAGGGCGGCCGTCACCATTGGATAGAGTCTCTTGGATAGAGCATCGAGAATCGTCCTTCCAAATATGAAGGCGTTTCGAGGTGCCCCCGCCCCCCCCCCCCTTCATACCTCCACCCCCCGGTTTTCTCAGACGATTGTATCCCCTCGATGTGTCTCGAGTACAAACGTCTTTCGATACGCCGGTCTCTCCGCGAATCCCCACACCGCGACCAACGTAGACTCCGGTTCAAAAGGCACCTCGATGAGTTTTGTACTCCACTCCATGGCTTTGCGGAGGAGGCCGCTCGTGTCATTATAATGAGGATGGGATAAGGGAAAGGAAGCTCTCGTCTCATCTGTTGACTCAAGATTTTCTTTTCTTCCACTGTCCCGGGGGAATTCCTCCAGCAGGTTGGCACCATCATCGCAGTTCAATACTGGCGGTCCCCGGGGACTGGTTGATGAGGGTGGAGGCGGGAAGCTCACCTCGGCGATGTGGGACAAAGTACTTGCACCCGCGACCTTTTCCATGAGTTTCACTTGCCCATAGCACTAATTAAACAGACTGCTAGGTGCCGCGCTGCCAATCACACGACCCTGCACGGCGCAAACGCCCCCAGCCCCACCGCACGCCGACCCCCGTTGTTCGGGAGGGCATCTCCTTCTCTCGTTAGCGTGCAAATAAGAAACATCCAGGCTGACTTCTGGTCCGGGCGCGAGGAGGCAGCAATCGCGCGCCAAACCGCCGCCCGCCCCCGCCCCTCCTCTCGCGACCCTCCCCTCTCCCCCTCGCGCATTGCGCGACTTGTAGCGCCAGAAAGAGACCTTTCTTCCTCTTCCCGGACTCGCCATGAAACCGCCGCGCGCGCCCTCTAAACCTCATCAAACTTGTGCGCGCCGCGCATCCCCCTTCTCCTCGCTTTTTGGCTGGAGCACAATGCGCCCTTCATTGCTCGGCGCGCCCCGGCGCGCCCCAGGGTAACCCACAATGTAGAGCGCCACTGCAGCCGACGAGGAGTGCCCACTTTCTCCCCCCCCCCCCCTCTTACCCTTTCCGTACCGAGCACAATAATGGCTTCTTGTTCGATCGCTAGATCTAGATCGCGCGGTGAGTCTCTGAGGAGTGTCCCCGACGAGGATTGTGCTGGGGATCCCGCCGGACGCGTATTGTTTTAAGCCCAATTGTGAACAAATTTGGAAATACATTTGCAGTGCTGTTAAAGCTCGCTCTCTCTCTCTTATCTATCTTCACAGCGACATGGAGAGGTTGCCAGACCGTTTCCTGGTGATGGTGCTGCAGCACCTGGACTACAAGGAGCTGTTCGCTTGCCGCGTCACCTGTAAGAGGATCCACGCCGCGGCCCTGGATCCCGCCGTGTGGCGCCACCGCAGCGCCGGTGAGGAGGAGACGGTCCGCTGGCTGCGCCCAGTGCTCCGCTTTGCGCCGTGCCTCGCCAAGCTGGAGGTCAACTACCCGCCGGTGTACCCGGGCACGCCGACCCGACTCCCGTACGACACCACCAAGTGCGCCGTGGAGACGCTCAACATGGGTATGGACGGCTTTGTGAGCATAGCTGACGTGCTTCTCGCCGCCAAGATCATCCGAAACCAGGAGAAGCTGGGTCGCCTGAAGCACCTGGAGGTGGAGTTCCAAGAGGACTGCACCGTCGTGGACTCCAGCCAGGCCGTCCTGTTCAAGACGGCGCTCTCGACGTCCACCCTGGAGAGCCTGGAGCTGGCCGGGTGGCCTACAGAGGACGCGGCCAATATCGTTTTCGAGAGTGTGGTGCGCGTTCAGATGCCGCCCCTGAAGTCGATCAAGTGTGATCTGGCCGTGCACATGAAGCCCTTCATCAATCTCGTTCTAGACAAGCTCGCCAACACCCTGGAGAAGGTCAACTTCCACTCGTATGTGTACCCCGATGACCCTAACATGTGTCTTGCTACCGAGATGTCCTCGCCGACGGTGACTCTGCTGGCGGGCATGCCAAACTTGCGGTGGCTGGACTGTCCCCCGTTTGCCGGCATCGAGGTCTTGGGCAGATGCAAGTCGCTCAGAGAAATCACCATCACCATGCAGGAAGAGTGGAACGCTGGCCTCCAGGGCGTCGCCAGGTTCCTCCGCCAAGCCACCCATCTGCGCAAAGTCTGCCTGATGCACCGCACCGCGGTAGAGAAGCCCAGTAGCCCCGGCGTGGACCTTGTCCTTGCGCTGGCCTCGTCAAAGGAGTCGGAAGTCGAGGAGCTCCGCGTGAGTAACTTCTTCAAACTGTCTGACGCCACCATGCCCCACCTCAAGCCGTTACTCAGTGCCCTGCCCATGCTGCCGAACCTGCGTCTGCTCTGGCTGGAAGAGGCTGCGGACGCGTTCCTGACGGCCATCACCCCCACCAACGCACCCGCCCTGCGGTGCCTGCGACTGATACCATCGTTCAGGTCCGTGATGAGCAGTGACTGCTCCCACGCTTGGGTCCACAAGAAGGCAGCCCAAACGCTGCTTTCAAAGAACCCCTCCCTGCATGTGCGTCTGGACTTTCCTCCCTGCGAGAAGAAACGCGAACGTTGCAAGTTTTGTCGCCTTAGCTGCCACAAAGCTTTGAGGCGCGTTTCCGCTTGGAAAGACTCTGTTGGACTCTTCGCGCACCCTGAAAACGATTGTCCCGCACCTGATTTTCACACGAAATCTAACTTTGTGTGGATTGAAATGTGAGTGATTTTTGTTTTGAACTAGTGAGGGTTTCTACTAAGTATTCTAATTATCCTTTCGTGCAGGCAGTGCAGGCATGTGCCTCCAAGTTATTTTGGTGATCTAGTTTTCTTTTCTTCTGTATTATTGTTAATTTTAGTTTACTTTTGCTGGAGCCTATCATTACTACTTTTCTTGTTTGACGACTTGTAGAATATTTTTGTTTATTTTTGCTGGAGCCTATCATTAATACTTTTCATGTTTAATTTGATTTCTGTTCGAACCCTTATTTCGCTATATATAGTCGGGCTGATCATTCATCATGTAAGGTGTTACATGCGAAAAGCTTATGTATTCCGATAACCTTTCAACTTGTTAATACATTGCATTTCCTATAAACCCTGTTTTTAAGAAGAGAATGTATTAATGCTTGGACCTCTGGCTTTGGTTAACTTCTTTGTTTCCGTTATCAATAAAAATCATCAGAGCTTGCTCCTGTTTGAGATTATGTGGCTGTTCTTGTATTGCAGGCACACAGGGGCGGGGCGGGGCGGGACCTAGACGGGACTCCCTTCCATGGGGCGTGTGTGTCATAAAGACCACCTTGATGAAGACATTTGTCAGCCTTAGACTGCCCCACTCCACAGCAGCAGCAGCATGAGCTTCCCTGCTGACTCTCCCTGCCGGGGCGGGCCGTGTTGGTCGGGTGCTGTATGATCGCCGGGGACCTGCCCAGGCGCGGGACACGTCACCCTGACGACTATAAGGTCGGCGTGCGATACTTTCGATAGTAACCTGCCCAAGCTGCTGTGCGGGGCCGAGTTCTGACCGCGGGGAGAGATGGGGCGGGGCGGTACGCGAAAATCACCAATTCCGTTGATCTGACAAGGGGGGG